GAAATTCAAGAATTGCCTTCCATCCACGGGGAATGCAAAAGAATATTGTCCACTATGTTTATCAAAATATGGTGGATGGCACTATTGGATCACAGCTTAAGAAGGTAAAAGTTACAAAATTCAAAAATACTGAAAGTTAATTATAATTGGTGTTTTGTCCTGAAGAATCTCTTTCCAAACATACTATTTTACTTGGTTGGAAAATTTTCAGACAAGTAACCAATAATTTCCAGTTCTTTTCTCTCTGTTTTTTAATACTCAATGTTTCATTTGTTTTAAATATATACTGTGTACAAAGCTTGTAATTGGTCCAACTGCAACTTCGTAAATCTAAAAAGATAATATGTTTTGTTACTCAGTTTAAGGGCATATTTTCCATGTTTCTTTCTTTAACTTCTAACTTGTGTATGTTGTAATTGTAGATCTTTTTTTGCTAGGAGTCAATAGACTGTTATCTTACCATGAAAAGTAAATTTTCTAAATATATCCTGAATGATTCCCAAATTAACTGAACTTTTATTTATTTGGAAATCTATATATTTATTATTTTGTTGTTCTGTTAACTATGAATCTTCACAAGAAAAAAGTATTAAATATTAACTCTAGTAATTGAGATGTTTTTGTCCAAATTCAGTGACACTAATATGGGTGTATAATTAGAAATTGTACAATTAACTATTGAAACTGATATAAAAAATTATCTGAGTTTACACATTTAAATAATCTCCATTAATGTCCACTGAATTGAATCCCCAGATGGTATTCAAAGGATGTTGTAACTTCCATTTCATTTTTTCCCCAAACTAAAAATGGATCAAGAATTAAATAGATCATAGTTATGTCATCTACCTAAAATCCAAGATTAGTAAAACTAACATTAGTGATTGTGTAAAATATTCAGTAAAATACAGTATTCTTATATGACAAAAACAATTCAACTGAATATTTGCAGAGTTGAACTGTTTTTTTTTTTTAACAAGCAGATAATACTTTTAAGTACACAGGACCTGGATGCCTTATCCTTCTCCGAACCTCATTCTCTGGAATAGTTTTTGTTGTTTTTTAAAATGTTTTAAATGTTTTAAAATTAGGCAGCTCTGGTTAAAGACCAGAGCTGCCTTTTCGTCTGCCATGACTTGGATTCAAAGTGAGGTTACCGAGGCCAGAATATTAACCACTATGTGATCACGCTGTACTGGAATTAATGATCTCTATTTTTGATGATTAAAATTGCATAGTCACCAAATTTTTTGTTCAACTATAAAATCAGAAAATTTCACTAAAACTTCTGCTTCCTTGGCAGATTTTGAATTTCCAGTTATTTAATTGACTTAATCCCCTTCTTTGCTAAAATGATTTTTCCTCATTTTTCCAGCATTATATATTACATGTAAAAGAATCCACCCTCATCAATTTCAATGTATAAAAAATATTTTTCCTTTTAAACATGCTCCTCAGCTCTTTAATGTTCCATGACTCACATATATTTATCATTTTAAAAAATACAAAAGTGTATGTGTAGTGATGACTGGATTAGCTCCAGGTCTGAATTGCAAATAACAATAATCAGTATTAAAAAAAGAACCTTCTTAAACAAAGTATGATTCATTAGTACTGAAAAAACATTTTGTCAATAGATAATTTATTAAAAACAATTGTTTATTCAACACATTTGAATCAGGAAGAAAAGAAAAGGAACCCAATGTATCTAACTAATATTATACTATTAAAAACACTGCCAAAACTAAGAAGAATGCTCAGAGTATCATATATAAAATAATTAATTTAAGTAAAAATAACGTACAATTAAAAAAAACATTAAAAAGCATTTTGGAAAGCCAGTGAAGACATTCTAAACATTCAGACACACTGTAATTTATTGTCCCATCAATTCTTCAAATTAGTTAATGATTTATGAGTGGACTGGAGTAATAGACTGTATGAGTAGGCCATCTGTTGTTTGAAATAATTAATAGCCATTTCTGAAACATACAATTTCATAATGCCTGTTCAATCTAATATATTGTAGGATATACAAGATTGTAAAGACTAATGTCTAAGACTAATGTTAAGACTAATATCTTAACATTAGTTAATGTCTAACTAATGACACATAATAGACTGCTTAGTAGATTCAGCCAAGTCTGAAAAAGATCCAAATAAATTTTGATAGCATCTCTTCAAATCTCTTGTGTTCTGAGTAAGAGAATTTGAGTATCATTTCCCCCCTGTTTTTTTGACTTTCGATATGATCCAAGGTATCTTAGCAAGTACCATATACTTATAGTTACAATGGCACTTAAAACTTTGTAAACTCTTTTGAAGATTCAATAGTTCTGTATAATAAATATGGCCTAAACATGACATTATATGTTTTCCATTAAAACTACATAAAGAGTACTCCATTAAACAAATGAATAAAAAATGTTGCATTTGCTCATTTATTTATTGAGGAAAATGAATCCAAAGGTACAATTACACAATTGTTCCTCTCAACTGTATATATATGTATAACAAGACTGTGTGCATGCATCTGGGGCTTGGATCCTACTCTCTTACTCTCTTGGCAACAGTGTCTCCAGGTGCCCTTTGTACGGTCTCTCTACTTGTACCGTCTGTTCCGAACAGCAAGTCCCTTTGACAGAAGAATCACAGCTTTGGAATGGCATCCAATGCATCCCAGCACCGTTGCTGTGGGCTCCAAAGGAGGAGACATCATCCTGTGGAATTATGAAGTGCTCAATAAAGCATGTTTTATTAAAGGGGTAAGTTGGTTAGCATTAACATGCTGATGAGAGCCATGAGTTATAATTAAATTGTTTTTGAAGAATCAGGGTTGTTTGTCTCATTATTTTGAAAGAATGGAAATGAGGTAGGAATGGCTCAAAATTGGATAAATGTTATTTTAAAGTGGGAAATCTAATCTTTTTGGATCTAACTTTATTTTACTTTCATGATCCAGACACTGAAGTACACTTAATTAAGCGAGGGTTTGAACTTGATTGGGGTTGAACTTGAATGGTCTCTTCCAACTCTGTAGAAGATTCTCAGTCATTCAGGTCATGGTTGTCTCAAAGGTGCTGGACTTTGTTTTTTTCTTTTCTTTTGAAGGCATTTCACTTCTCATCCAAGAAGCTTCTTCAGTTCTGACATGATGTTTGGATCTCTTCCAACTCAATTATCTGAATGAATGGGAGACATCCTGTAAATGCAATGAGATTTTTCATTTGTTTTGTAAAGATGTTGCTTTAATATGAAACCTTGTACCAACTGTTGTCACCTATAGACTAAGCTTTACAATTATAATAGTTCTACAGCAGTGGTGGGTTCCGGATCCTGTTGCAACTGGTACGGTGCAATGGATCCCGGCATCCACCACATGAACATGCTCAGGGCGTGCATGCGTCCTTACTTCCTGTGATGCCTCCGCAATGCTCTAGTGCTTGGCGGAGCATTGCGCAGACGGCGTACACTCCGTGCGTGGAAGTGCCTAAGAGTTCAAATACAGGTAAGGAGGACGGGTGGTCCCTCTGGAGCACCATACCAGAACAGTACCCGGTGCTCCCAGCAGGCACCGGTACGCCCGTACCAGGGTGTACCATCTGCAACCCACCACTGTTTTACAGTGTATTGTGATATCTGTTTATTGAATCAGAGGAATAATTTTTTTTTAAAAAATGTTCCTAGATCTTGTATGTGAGCTACTGTTAGGATATATATTTGCATGTGAGGACAAGAGCATTGCAGTCTTATAAACCTTGAAAAAAAGTATAAAACAATAAAACTGAACCTCTGCACTAAGAGTATAAATGTAATCTTCCTGTTTCATTCTTCTCAAACAAGTAAGATAATTAAATAAAAATTGAACTTCTTGTGTACTCAGCATGTTGTTTCTCTTAAAGAAGCCCTCCTGACCTCATTTCCATCTTATATTTTTATCCTCCAAGATTTATAGTTCCTCTGGCATATTTCACTGATCATATCGTGTAAATCTCATTAATAGGCACCAAATTGCTTTATTTTCCCTGATTACGTTTAAAATTGAGAGTATTCCTCAAAGTCTCATTCAGGTCATAATTTTTAAGAATCTGAAGGAAAAAATCAGCACTCAATATGAAACAGTGATTCTGAGAGAGGAAGCTGGGCTCTTGCCATGATACACATTATGTCAGAGTTAGCAATTGTTGTTTTTCCAGTAACAGTTATTTAATATATGTAGCATTGGCTAGAAGAGCTGAAAATTCTTCCCACACGAGGCTCTTTGCTTTGATGCAGTCTGATAAACATGAAAACTACTTTTTGGGAAATGTAGTTTTATAATATTACTGACACTCACCAGATAGTACGAGAGATTTTTCTCCTTCCTGATTTTTGAGTGACTTTGTGTATTATTCATTTCTTTTAACTATAGATTGGAGCTGGAGGGGCCATCACAGGAATGAAGTTTAATCCTTTTAATTCAAGTGAGCTGTACACATCATCAGTTTCTGGAACTACTGTCTTGCAAGATTTTAATGGCAACAGAATCCGGATCTTGGCCAATACCCATGACTGGAAGTAAGATGCAGTCTATTTCTTTCAGGTTTTTTATTAGAAGGGCAGCATAACCATAAGAAACAGTTAAGATTGGAATATTTTTCACTGTTCCACTCAGCATTTGGGAGATTTATATTCCTGAGTCACTTTTTAGAGTGCTCATTTTTCTAGTTCAGAAAGTAGCCTTTAAGGAGCTAGGTAAAAAGATGTAACAAACTACTGAGTAAAACTTTTGAAAATCAGTAAAATAACAAAATGAAAACTGACCAGCAGACTGAATTATAGATTTTCCTTGGTAAAGAGATTTGCTTAAAACATGTAAGATTTAGATCACCCTAAAATATTAAGAGTGTTTTTTTTCTATATGGTTCGTATGAAAAAGCTTGTACAGCTAGAAAATATTGTACTTCAAAGGAAATAGGCTGTTTTGACCCTAAGAGCACAAAGTAATGCACTTTTTAAGTATTTGTAGCCAAGTAATGTTGCTACTGTTGAAAAATAGAGGTCTTTACTATTCTGTTTTGGGATTATTCTAGTTCTGTTTTATTTTAAAGTGCCCTTAATAGTAAGATAAAGAGTGACAGTAAGATATTAAGAAGCACTAGGGGGAAGGGTCCAAATTGTTTCCAGCATTCTGAACTTGGAACAAATTTTTTTCAAGTTTTATCAGAATGTTTCATTCTACATCGTTTTGAGTATTCTACAGTTGGCTTTATATAGTAATTTATTTTAGTTTCCCCCAAGCCATAGAAATTTTGAGAGAGAATTAAAACAGGAGCGACAAGAGTTTTTATTATAATTGGCCAGAGCCACTTTTGAATGGGCAGGGAGGGTACAAAGGATAATTAGGCATATATTTCAGAGAATAAGAGCTTCCTTTCAATATAAAACAAGTACTGCCCTCTAGCACTGAAATTTATTACTATTTTTATATTGCTGTCTGGAAGTTAGTTCATGTTGTAGTGTAATTTTGCTGTCTTATGTATTCTTTGTATGTTGTCTTGTATAAACATTAAAAGTAAGCATAGATGCTTTACAAGTGGTATTGCTACATTTTTCAGATTGCCAGATAACAAAAACTTAGTTTAGTTCCAAGAAGGCCAAATATTATGCATGAGATATATATATTATATATATAAAATAGGTTTCAATGAAATATCCATAAAACTGTATGTTTGCTGCTGTTAAATTGTTTATGGGTTTCATTGAAGTAAATCCATTGTTATTTTTTGCTACTGTAGATTCAGTTCTGTCACTTTTTG